CACATAAAAACAATAAGTCAAATCAAAATACTTTTATTGACGGGTGTTACTTTATTTCACAATAGATAGTTTCGCTTCCTTCGCCTTTCCTACGCAGACTAACTCGCAGTTGCGCCGCTTGCCTTTTTATATGCAATTATTACTGCCATCTCGAGGTGATTTGAATACACCAGCTTAAACCAGAACTTTTTTTTTCCGTTGCAGGGTGACCTAACACCGAGAAGATTGCCTTCATCGTGGATTTCTTCAACACACTTCGTTTTTCAAGCTGATGACGGAAGCCTTTCTATTCTCGACACTAGTAAAAATTTCAGCATTTCAGTTTTAGTAACCAATAATACTCTGGTGAGTCTCTTTCATAACCCATATTTCACTCTAATAACAAACAGTTTCAAATTTACTCTTCATCAAGGTATATCAAATTAAATTAGAGCCCAAAACACCAGGTCTCATCAGTGATACAAGGCTAAACCACGAATGCAATGCTGGACTCGACTGTTCTCAAAGAACAAGTTCAGATAATGTAGACGCCTATTTTTTCTCACTCCCATTGATCTAGAGAAGGCTCCAAGACTCTCAAAGATTTGCAAGGCGCTCCTAGGCGGTTAGTTGCAAAGCTCAACCTCGACACTGACTGCCATCTTTTGTCTTTCACTGTAACTAATTGAAACCAGGGTTTTGAGAAGTTTCTTTTGATGTTCAAGAATTGGGACTTCTGTGGATCCCATGAATGGCTTTTTTGTAAGGGAATTGACATCGCCTTGATTCGTCTAGGTTTGTTGATTAAAACTCAAAATGTGACAAACATCGGTATGCATCTCTTCAGTTATGTTTTTCAATATTAACTCAAGTTCAGAATTCTTCTCCACATATAGAAGTCAGCTCTGTCCTGATTCAGCTATTGCAACCACTCTCGTTGAGAAATAGAATAACTTTCCAACCAATTCAGAAATTCTACCTACTTTTGGCCGTTTTCCAGCATTGATAATTTCCAAAAATGGTGACCATTTTGAAACCAATCGTGTCAATGGACAACTACTCTCAGAGGATATAGAGGATACAAGCGTATCCTCTTGCGGAAAGCAAGCGTCCGATGGCCGGTTTGCTCAACCCACACATTCCAGGACAATGCACTCGCAAAAGCAGCAAGCACAGTGGTTCAGGCCGTGAAAGATGAACAACGAGAGCCAACCCTGGCAGTACTACTATCTCAAAAAAGTACCTGGAATCAATGAATGAACGCAAAATACAGGGTGTAGCTAAATGAGTGTAAAACATTCAAGGAAGTGATTCCTCATCGGAAAAAAGATAGGATCTTTCATATAAAGAAATTTCATTGGAGCATCCCTTGTTACGATACAGCCCCTTAAAGGGGGTACATAAAATATCAGTCACACCCTGTATATACTATACATCAAAATAGATGGAGTCGTACCCAAAGCAGACTCTTTCGAAATAATTTACTTTGACAACGAACAACCCAGTGACCAGAAAAATTTTTGAATGCATTTTTTGTAATCGACTACAGTACTCACTGCAAATGTTCTATCAACTGAAAACGGGTGCTTCGAAGTGGTAATTTGAGTTTTTGAATAAGAAGATCATCGACCGGAACCATGTCAGGTGAATACAGTGGCTGTTCGATTAGAGTTTTCGGCCAGAAATTTGTTTACAATGATAGCGTTATCGTGTTGCAAAATTCACGCATCGAGTATTTTTTGACAAATTTGAACTCCCAGAAAATAGTCTTCGTTTACTTTTCCAGTGCACAACATCGCGGTAATCGAAAAATAAACTGTTAACGTCTCCTTCACTTTTCATCGACTTTGAAAGGTATTTTCAGTTTCGGCTCAGTTGGAAAGCGCCCTTCCGAAGCTTGTTGACCGGTTTGAGATTCAAATTCGTAAACCCGTGTCTCATCACTGGTTACAATGGGTTTTTCGAATGTGGGGTCAGAATTGACCTGTTTCAACATGTCTACTGCAACCTCAACGCCATTGGGTTTCTGCAGAAAATTCAGATTTTTGACACTAGTATTACTTCAGTCGTGTGCTCTTAAGCACACTCGTTTTTTTTTCACGGTATGATGATTACTGAAGACAAATATATTGTCTCGCTCCAATGTGTTGTGGATAATATTAATCTATAGCACAAAGCAATATCTCTTGTTCAAATTAGATACAGTTTTCTATGGTGTCTAAGTAGAATTTTGACATCAGCACATCAGGCAGTTCGAATTTACAAATTTTCTCAATATGACTATAACTTCTAATGATTGTCTAACACACATTTGAAGTTCCTAGCTCAGGTGATCAATATTAATTAATAATAGTTATTAATGCAACCTATATATCCTCGAAATATTGTTATCGGGATACTTCAACTGATTTTTCCAGTTCAACTGATCATGAATAATATACAACACTCGTTCTATCAGTTTTTCAATGTTGAATAAAAATGTCTGTGTTCAATGTTTTCAGTGTATTACTCCTTAAAATTTTTGAATAAAGTATTGATCAATTATGAGCTCTTTCGATAGAGATGCATGTATCGTAATTCTATTTCTCATTTTGTTTCAGAGACAACTGAATGTCAAAGGCTACCAGGTTTCGAAAGACCTTCGCTATGTGCTCTTCCAACATAACCTCAAATCAGTAAGTTGATAAATTAACTTTTGAACAACAGCCTATAGAAATATTTCGATATGTTTCCATGGCATATTGGATAGTAATGGCAACCTAACTACGAATTATGTATTTATTTTTTCTCAATTGGACTTTTTTGACTTATTTACTATAAACAAATTATTCGGGTATGTTTATGAACAAATACTATTTTTTTCATCAAAGCCCCAACCAATACCTTGGAAATAATTCAGTTTCAATCCTTTAGTAGTATTGATAACACTCATCTTTCAAATTCCAATAATTTANTGGTAAGTAAATCTACAATTTCCTGTTTCATCAGTGGATTCACGTGGTTTTTGTCTGAGAGACACTCAACTAGTCCAATTGTTTCAATTGGCGGAATACTGGGAAATAAATGTTGGACATCAAACGATATTAATTTTGCGTTATCGTTTTTAATGTTATCCACTGATTGATAAGAACTATTTATACTGAATTTTGGCTTGAAATTGGTAGGAAGCCATTGTATGGTGAAACACGTGTTGCCTTTTTTTTAAAACTGTCTAGTGAAAATCGCACAATAAATTGTTTTTAGAATACGTTAGTTATGGATTTCCATCAAGCATCGGCCGATTCCATCATATACAAAATAATCGCCTATGTCGCGCTATTGAGCGGTAGAATAGCGTAAGCTGAACGCCGCCAACATAAAAAAGAAAAACATTCATTATTATTATGTTCAATAGTGAAATGTTCAGTCCTCTCGTAGCAGAAATATACCTCTCTGAAGAAATATCGGTAAAATAGAAGTAACAGAAGTTCCAGTCATATTTCGGCCGGGAATGAAAGTATTCATTTCAGAAACTGATCATCACACATAAAATCTATTTTTGTACTCTAAGCCTATGGATGATAAATGAAAAAGGTGTAGGAGGTTCATCCAAAAGTGTATTGCTTTCATCCACCCATTTTGTACTTGTTTCCAAGACAAAAATATTCATTTCTGCTGAATTACCTATTCGATTTCCTTAGTGGATTTACTCCAGAGAAGAACCAAAGGGAAATACTTCATGGGATCACTTGGGGAAGAATCAGGAAAGAATAATTAGGATTGGCGGCAGTAACTTGAATGGGGAAAACGTGAGTAAGCAGACGCTAACGCTGTGTGATATTTGGGCGATTCGCATTGCTTGTGTGGATATTTTGTATTGTACTAACATCATTTCATATCAGCATCATTCAATGAAGAAAACAGTTTCAGATTGATGCATTCTTTTCCAACCGAGTTCAAGATTGATCAAACATTATTCTTCACCGACTGAACAGTTTTTAGAACCTTCTTCACTTATATTCATTATAATCATTTCAACCAAAACTTTGGTTGAAAAAAAATTGCTTCCTTCTAATCTCCCGGTACAAAATCATTCTTAAATATACATCCCTTGACATTAGATTGAGAATGGGTGATTTGTTCATTTCATGAAAAAAAAACAAACAAAACTGAGGAAACAATCCTCATTTGGATGTGAAAAATAATGGATTACCAACAATTAACAAAGTGACTTGTAGGGTTTGGTTGAAAATATTTTTTGTGGTCAGAAATAAATAGAAAATAATAATTATCAATAACAATTAATGACGTTTTCGTCGAAGAAGATAAATCTGTATCTGTGGAGTGGGGGGGTTAGTACTTAGGCCACATGTGACCCATTGTACATCCTCCCGAGGAGTTGTCCTCCTAGGTCATCGTCCATCTTGTCCTTTCCAGGAAGATGGACGGGTCACTGATGTAGGGAAGTGCAAGCACTGGTTGTGACGGCTTCTCTTCCTTGCGAGACTCCTGCTGTCTTCTAGCCAAAGTATTTTCTACCATCGCTTTAGCCATTCCGTTGAAAATCATTTTTGATGATGTCTAGTTCCTTCTCAGAGCCCGAAGGCACGATCTAAGAGAGTCTTGATGATTCCTCTTTTAGTCGATTGATGGTTGTTGGTTACTATTGCTATGATAAGTTGAAGAAGAAAACACAGAATGATAATTACTCGGTTTTATTTACTTGCAAGGTAAAACTTAACGACAGAAATTATGACAAAGAAAACTTGACTTAAGTATCTAAGTTTAAGCCTATTGATAACTAAGATGATATATTTTCTGCGATGTCTTGCACCCTCCGAGCCACGGTATTTGCTGACAAACTGAAACTTTAAAATAAATTTACCATTTCGGGGCACATTTCTTCGGCTACTGCAATCAAGCATTCTTTTATCATTTCTCCATCGGTGAATGATTTGCCACGTTTTTCGATTTCAAGAGCCACACGAAAGCTGGCGTGTTGCAGACTCTTGTTCGGTATTCGCTTTGGTAAACTAAGATTGCTGCGATTTGAGTCCGCGTTTCAAAGCTTCAAATTTTTCCTTCCGCAAACTTCCTGTATACTTGGAGTAACTTTGAAGATGTTTCGATTCATAGTGTCGTTTAATGTTATAGTCTTTGAGAACAGCTATGGTTTCATTACAAATTAAACATAGCGCCTTCCATTTTCCTTGAAACGTTCTGCATTCACTGTCGATTTTTCGCTTCTTTTCCATATTAACAAATCACACATAAAAACAATAAGTCAAATCAAAATACCCTTATTGATGGGTGTTACTTCATTTCACAATAGACAGTTTCGCTTCCTTCGCCTTTCCTACGCAGACTAACTCGCAGTTGCGCCGCTTGCCTTTTTATATGCAATTATTACTGCCATCTCGAGGTGATTTGAATACACCAGCTTAAACCAGAACTTTCTCCAACCAACGCGGTAATTCCAAATATTTAATTACGCCTAATGCCACCTAGCGGGTAGCTGAAAAAGATAGTACATAGTACCACTACTCGCCACTAGATGTCGTTAAGTGTCACAATACACAATAATAATTGAAATGCAGAAAAAGCGTAAGTTTGCTTAGGTCACGCACTTTGCGACTATCCTAGTCTAGAAATATAGCAAACTGAAAAAATCATTATGGCCCGAAGGCTTCAAAGTTTGGTGACCCCTGTATTAGACAATGGAAGTCCGAACTAGTGAAATTCAAAGAAAGTACTGATAGAAGGTTGCTTCTACTACCTCTGTGAATTCGAACTTCTTTGTGGTTAGTACTGACCCTCTCATGCTTCCTCATATTTTGCTTCATCTTTGTGATGGTCTTGTGATTTTTAACACATATTTCATAACATTCAAGAATGTAATCTTCATTTTTTTAACCATTATTTATGTTGGTCATTTTAATGGTGAATTTGGACTAATCCGATCTATTTATTGTTAATAGGATATAGATGCAATAAATTTGAATTTGAATTAATTTTTGCACTTCCATTCTGTAACTATGTGACATCTGTCATATAATTACTTTCGATGAAATCTTTCTCTGCGTGTGAGTTAATACAGTTGCGCTAAAAATTCGCGTTTTATTCCCAACCTCGAACTGAATTCCACACTGGCGCCCTTGGCGGTGGGTAATAAACGACGAAGATGTTATTTGGATAGAGTTGGAGAATGGAAAGGTTGCATTGCCTGGATTAAGTTTGGAGAGCTGGACTCGACAGATGACTAACGGCAGCTTGTCACGCGAATCACGAACATTCCTCCTTATTTCCTGGTGGTAAATCAACCTATATGCGTGAAATATTGAACCATTTAACAGCTATTAACACGAAAAAAGGGGTGAATTTGCATTAATTGCTTGTTTGATTCAGCTCATTAACTGTTTTATGAATACGATCGGTAGTTATTATTGCGTTGGCTCAATCTGACATGTAGACAGCATTGTTTATGACACCATGAAAATAGTAATTTGGTGGCTGTTCCATAAAAATAAAGCATATTTCAATTTGAAATTATGCATGGGTATCCTGTAAAGGGTGAGAGTTGGAGAGTAGGTTGAAGCAGAAGCAGAAGGTTGGATATCCTAATGAGGAACAAGAGAATTAGGATAGAAGTAGCCAAGTTCCGGTCAATTGGGGTGATATTGCCCAATATTGATAGTTGATAATTTTCACATAACCCATTTTTGAGGTCCTAGATACAATTTGTACCTTTGGAAGGTGGTATATAGATATGATTCATGGAGTTATTTTATTTTTACATCATACCACTCTCAAATAAAAAATTAAATATGGGTGGTCAAAGTCACCTCGTGAAGTGGGGTCCCTTTGACCAACATGGGAATGTGCATGGGTATCCTGTAAAGGGTGAGAGTTGGAGAGTAGGTTGAAGCAGAAGGTTGGATATCCTAATGAGGAACAAGAGAATATTTCGAATTAGGGTAGAAGTAGCCAGGTTCCGGTCAATTGGGTGATATTGCCCAATTTTGATAGTTGATAATTTTCACATAACCCATTTTTTGAGGTCCTAGATAAAATTTGTACCTTTGAAAGGTGGTTTATAGATATGATTTATGTAGTTATTTCATTTTATTATCATACCACTCTCAAATAAAAGGGGTCCCTTTGCCCAACAGATGTTTTTTTGGTATAAAAAAGCTATAAATGAAAGAGGGACAAAACACCTCTTCAGGGTGTTACAAGAGCCACAGTGAAGACAATAAAATTGCTAAATAAATTGATGGATGTATAGCCGTTACTACGTGGTAGGAGATCATAATAAAATTGCTCAAAAAATCGAAAGTAACCAGTACAGTTGCCAGGACTATCGACAAAAGTGTTATGAACGACATACAAGTTTTAAAAATTATCACGCATCAGTCAAAGACGAAAGGGACTGATTTGAGTTTGACGATAGTCATGTCACGAAGTGTTCTGGCGATGTATTGAATCTATTGGAGCCTCTGGAGACACCCCAGACATTTTGTTATATGAGAGAGAGGACATTGGCAGATATAGATCTTCAGATAATGTGGTGCTGCAGGTTTTTCCGGGTTTTCCTGCAGCTGAAAAAGCAAATGCGCCACTGGAATCAATGTAGTCGCCCCGGAGCGCCAATCAATTTTTATTGTTGTTTTTATTTTTATCGTTTTAAATAAGCCGTATTTTTTTGTGATTTCAATGCTTTCTCTATCTGAAGGATAATAAAGTAAAAAAACTAAAATACAACGTGACACTTTAAATAAAAGGTGGGCAAAGTGACCCCAAGTTCCGTGTAAAACGTGTAAATGTAATTTTGAAGAACTCAAATTTTCATGGATAACACACCTTACAAATAAAACAGTTAATTGGTAATAGCACTTATTTGGAACGACCTACAAACTATAGAATATCTCGTTGTAATTGAGGAGGTATGTTTCATCGACTGCAGCGCCTCAAACGACCTTTCAGCTATCTACTATGGAGGAGCGAAACTGTTTTTTCCAAACTGGGCAAAGCTACCCCGGAGGGTTTGATTTAATGCCACGAAAATCCAAACGGAACATTCAGAAACTCAATTTCAGGATGTATTTCCTTGTTTTGCAAAAATATTAGAGATATGTTCACACATTGAGATGGCAACTTTTTTCAGGCTGTCACAAAATGCATATACAGAAAATCTTTCGCTTTGGGGCATCTTTAACTTCGACAATGAAACGAAAGCCTGTATTTTGTGATACCAATGCTACAATATTTACATGGTATCATGAAATTTAAGGTAGGTTTTTTGATGGTCTAGAGAATTTTGGGTAATTCGATGATCATCAAAACAGTTATATTGCGACCCTGATGATCACTCCAATGGAGCCAATTCCTACTTTTTTCATGTACCAGGGCTCAAAAACTTGATATTACAAAGATCTAATGTTTCCATTGACATTTTCCAACTTCGCGTCGTACAATTCCCAGAAGTTTGGCAAACTTTCCTGTTCAGTGATAGAAAACAAAAACTATTTTTCGATATTGACCTCGCACTATAAATCAATTATCTTTTCATGGAATATACCATACAAGTTCCTGAGGGAAGTTGTATATTCCAGAAACTAATAATGAAGGTTTCGAGTTCTTACTCTCAAAATCACTGCAAAAATAAAAACCAGGTATTTGCTTTTTCTGGTATCTCTTTCTGATGAATTTTCTGAATAACATTCAAAATTTTTCAGAAATTCCATTCGGGTTCTCAGATGGACTCAACTGTCCAAGACCAGCCAAATTATAAGTGAGCATGAACAACTCT